TGATCGATGGTATAAAAATCAGATCTGGATAACGAAATTGTCTGTTACAACCAAGGTTAGCTTTGACCTAGTGTTGTCTGAATACGAATATTACTGGGGAATGATACCGTATGTCTTATACAACATAAAGTAGAACAATCTTTATACCTATCTGTTTTATGTTTCACTGTATAAAATAAAATCTTTGTACCTCTCTGTTTTATGTTTCACTATATAAAATAAAATCTTTGTACCTCTCTGTTTTATGTTTCACTGTATAAAATAAAATCTTTGTACCTCTCTGTTTTATGTTTCACTGTTTAAAATAAAATCTTTGTACCTCTCTGTTTTATGTTTCACTGTATAAAATAAAATCTTTGTACCTCTCTGTTTTATGTTTCACTGTATAAAATAAAATCTTTGTACCTCTCTGTTTTATGTTTCACTGTTTAAAATAAAATCTTTGTACCTCTCTGTTTTATGTTTCACTGTATAAAATAAAATCTTTGTACCTCTCTGTTTTATGTTTCACTGTATAAAATAAAATCTTTGTACCTATTTGTTTTATGTTTCACTATATAAAATAAAATCTTTGTACCTCTCTGTTATATGTTTCACTGTATAAAATAAAATCTTTGTACCTCTCTGTTTTATGTTTCACTGTATGAAATAAAATCTTTGTACCTCTCTGTTTTATGTTTCACTGTATAAAATAAAATCTTTGTACCTATCTGTTTTATGTTTCACTGTATAAAATAAAATCTTTGTACCTCTCTGTTTTATGTTTCACTGTATAAAATAAAATCTTTGTACCTATCTGTTTTATGTTTCACTGTATAAAATAAAATCTTTGTACCTCTCTGTTTTATGTTTCACTGTATAAAATAAAATCTTTGTACCTCTCTGTTTTGAGTTTTGACACAAATGATCATTGTGGTAGCAACAATCACTAGTCATTATTATTGTTCAATCTAGACGCTATTTGAATCTTACAATAACGGTAGTGAAAATGTTTTTTTTTGTTAGAACGACTAAATGACCTTCGATTCTACTTGCGTATATATTGATGACGTCATGTCTTTAAAGAACGGGTGATTTATTGACGTCGTTCATCGTACATGTATATACCCGCCACAACTGGAAATAAAGGACACGACAGACTATTTTACATCAACCGCTTATCTTGATCCTTTTCCTACAACAAAACAAAAATGGACATCTCTCCAACATGTTGTATGATAAGCGTGACTTCTTCCCTATTGCAAATTTTCCATTTCAGGATCCGTGCATCCCCAATCCATGGAATACATACTGCAGCTGAATCGATATTCAAGGGCCTGTTCCCGATATCACGTTTTTCGTCAAAGATGTCATCAAATGAAAGACTCATAGCACAGGGTTTCAAACGATGCAGCTTGGTTAAGATTATGGAGAAGTTTTACAGCTGCCATAAAGTCTCATTGAGAAATACAATGTTTGATGTCCGTTAGTTTGCCTGTTGTTTCGTGGTTGTATAACTTGTTCTCATTTGTTCTCTTCCGGAACACCTGGTCTTATTCTCCCTGTACTCAGGAATCTCAGTTTAAATCCTTCTTTTATCATAGTTTGCCCTAGTTTTATTGAATTTAGATATTGATTATGTTGTGATGTTGGTAATTTCTTGTTGTTTGGCTAACACTTATTCTTAATAAACTTTTTTGGCAAATTTTACGCAATTTTTGTGCTCCAAGCTGAAATGTCATATAAATGGATATCTAATGTTACTGTACGGTACACTAAGGTTTACTAGGAGACAGACACCTTTACATAACCAATTCAAACAGAATGGTCCTTCCTTGGGTTGACCTCGTTCTGAACGATCTCGTCTGACATCACGGGAAATAGACGATCGTATGAGGCACATTCAAAATTGTATCCTAGTAAGTAAGATCGGTTGTGGTAATACAGGGAGTACAACGACAAATCAGTTCGAGACCATGACAATGAGTACAATGTCCACACGCGCCACCCTGTAGTACGTCTTACTACAACATTTTATTAATGTCCAGCGACGTCACGCTTCAGCACGGCTATGCTCGGCCACACACGGTATAAAGCAGGTGTGGTATGGCGACTTATTCCAACACTGAAGCTGAAGTGTCATCCATCAAAATTTATTCTACAGTCTGTTAGTGTCGATGCCAAGTCTGCTTTGATTTCAATGGCGGACATGCATGTACACGTAACTAATAGTTTTTAATTGTGGTTTGACCCATCCCATCTTCTACTAATTATCCAAAATAAAACAGATATAATTTTGATCAATTATTACTTTAGAGTTTCTGAATGATACATGATTCATTGATTTGGGTAGGAGAAAATATCGTTTTCGGTTGTTTTGTAATTTCCATTAACATTTCCTTACTGTATTTTTTTATACATGTATATAAAGTCATACAGGAACATGTACATTTGCGCATGCGTAAAAATGATGAGACTGTCATGTTCCTATGTTTAAGGGGTATGTAAAAAAGTTAAAGCTATAAATCTGACAAGTGGAGCTCAGCGTTTTATCTCCAACATTTATAGTATATATATTATGGGACCTTCAAACGTATTACGGTCTGTACCGGACGTTCCCGAGCTTGCGTAATGGAACTTTCATTTTGATAACACAAATAGGTCAAGCGAAGTTTAAATGTCTGTCTAGTAGGAATATCGGTCGCCTTGTTTTAAAGTCGTTACTGAGTTGCCATCATGAAAGCGCCGCCATCTTGTTTTGTCATCTAAAACGTCTGGTTATTGATAAGCAGGACATGAACATTGAACATCGGATATTTCTGTCGTATGGGAACTTCTATGGTCAATTCATCTTTATAACCCTGACTAATGGGGCACTCACAATGGCTTAACGTGTAGGGACATGCGTTTTGTCGAACTTCATCATCTGTAAAGACGGAAATGGACAGTTCAGTGTCCTTTCATTGTGGCTGCACATGGTTTTGATTTATTTGACATACAAAAGCAATAAAGTACACATGTAATTAAGTTGATACAGATCATGCTTACGTCACACGTTTTACAAATCGTCTCATAGAATGATGACGTGTTAAGATAAAATCAAGTGATAAGCGTACATATACTACAGTAATGAGTTAATATTTCAGAAACACGCCTTTCAAAATAAAGTCAGAACCGTTATAAAAACTGAGTTATCAAGTTAACAACAAAATATTTAAATTACTCTTCCGGAACACCTGGTCTTATTCTCCTTTTTGTTCTTATTTTGTCCAAGTTTTATTGAATTTGGATTATGGTTATATTAATATGTTGGTATTTTCTTGTTGTTTTTTGTGAATAAAATTATAAAATATTGAAAATTGTATATAACAAAGGCGATACAGTATTATCAAAAATACTTCGAACAGGAGGAATTAAAGTTAATGAGAATATATCATTTAATGATTTCATTTACATTAGAATTAAATTGAAACTGGAAACAGATAATTCCAACAATAAAAGTTGTTTGGTATATACAAATATTGTAATCAGTTTCAAAATTACAGACCACATTATGTTGTTCAACGTGAAATTCTGCCATACGAGTTGATAGGCTTTAAAGATAAAGAGAAAATGTGTTATCAACCGACTACAATGTAATCAGAAAACAGAAACTGGAATCGACAAACACAAGGTCAAAGATATTTAAATTGGGATTGAAGGGTTGGATTTACTTGTAGAATGATCACAAAGTGTCGATTCTAGTTCCTGCCTGCAAACGGGAGATTCCGAACGTACCAAAAAGGAAAATGGTACAGGGGAGGTAACTCTCATAGAATTTAAAGAAGATTTTGGTCTGTGAGGTGATAACAGGAATTAATTAAAAAAGCATTAATTCTTATTATCAATAAATTAAAGTTAACGTTTATTGTATAACGATTTCTCTTTATGAATTGGTTTATATTGCCTATTGCTTCGATAGCAGAAATCAAATGGAAACTGGTAACAGGAAAACTCCAATAAGCTGTATATAAAGATATATTTAAAAACAATTGCGAAACAAGCTATCATTTTATATTAATCACTCTTGTTGGCTGGATGGGTGCGCGCGGGGTATCTTATTGTAGGAGGACACTAGAGTACCAGGGGAAAATCCACTTGGTCAGGTAGGTGATCCCATTTCTTTTCACGACCGTAACGGAAATCGAACCCAGGATGGCCAAGTGAAACGTGAGTGCGTTACCACTGCGCCACCCGACCGCTGTTTGGTATATACACATGTTATAACTAATTTGAGAATTAGACACCAGCATTCTGTTGTTCCAAATGAAACCCCCCCCCCCCCCCCCCCACCTTTGCCACACCACTTGCATCCCCCAAGAGATAAAGCCATGAGGCAAATTGTGGCCTCTTATTGCTTGAAATTTAGATATTGCCTAATTTTGTATAAAGATGAATTAGGGAATTTCAAACATTAATTTGCAACTGTGCTTTTCACTTTTTTCATGGAGTTACGACTAAATTTGGTATATAGAAGATTGTGCATCTGCGGGGAAAGTGGTTCTCGTTATGATGACAGCTTTAGTTTATTACTGACTTGCGCAATTTCCAACTTGACTCGTTGTTGACTCGGTTTTTATTGTCTCGGCTTGTTGCTCAATCGCTCACTATTGACTCACTGATGACTCAGCTGAAGAGGAAACTGAGCGGATGATAGAATCGTGCTTGAAAACACCTTTCTTGAGTACAATACAACCATCTTTGCATACTCATGGGGTCCTATTTTGTCGAATAAAGACAAAAAACATGGTTCTTTGCCCGATAAATTCTTGAATGACTGTCAATGTGTAATACATTGTATATCAAAGATTATACAGTATACAAATGAGCCAACATCACCTTTCACATAATTAGACACGGTACAGCCAACTAATGAATTTTACTGCAACATAACATTCAATCATTTGTCATCTTATTCCTATTTTAATTAATGAAAGATATGCATATATGGACATTGAAGGGTTTGACGGACGTCCAGACAATTATCCCACTACAGCCGAGGGCATGGTCGAGTGGATATTGTGACAGAGGACATCAAACCGACAGTTGTTAATGGCGTCGCTGTACACACTCTTTAACAAGTAATAAGGACAAAGTTTTAGGCCACACGCAGGAAGAGGTGTTTCCACCTCGTTCACGAACATTTTCAGGTATATGTCTCCCAACTCATCGCCGCACTTGTACAGAACGGGATAGATGTTACCAGAAAAAGGTGCAATTTTGCTTGTCCGGTACGTCCGGTTCCGGTGAGCGTTATAGTTGCTGGCCAAGAGAGGGGTGCTGTCGTGGAAGAGGGATAGGGCGCTGTAGATGGGGAGTAAGGTCTCAGCATGTCCAAACCTGAACGTCCCCACAGTGTAGCTGGAACAGAAACGTAAACACAATATATATTATCTCTATTTCAATAGCGGCATTATCGCATGTTAATTCAGGGAGATGATAAAAAACATTACTTTGTACTCAGACGCGGTGAGACTATCAATAAAGTGTAAGTTCACATTGAAACCATTTTACCTCTGGCCTTCCCTGTCCGCCTGAATAGCTTTGTCCATGTTTCCGAACACATCCACGAACATAGGGCACGTGATCTCGCTGTTAATGACGTGGCCATAGGATTTCAACCAATAGTTCTGTAAGTCAAGGACAAACACTGTGAGGACTAGACTTGATACTGTTAACATATACCATGCTACATAGCAAAAGTTTGACAACAACAGTGAAATGACCGTTTTTACTGATGTTTGAGATTCCGACATTAAACAAGAAATGAACTCACGTATACATCCGTCCCATAATCAATCACTTCTAAGTCCTCCTTGGTGAAGAAAGAGCACCAATCAGAGGTTTTAAACAAACCAAGCTCGAGGGTGCAGTACTGGTGAATGACAAGGATTTCACCTGCAATGAACGGTGAGTGGAGATGATTTATTTTTAGATATATCCTAATACTAGTATTTGAAACAGCGACATGGTAACATTAGGACCACCTACGGACTGTAATGACATTGAGCTGTCAATGATTTCATCTTTTAATTTGCATTATTATAAGCTGAAACAAGTGTCTTACTAATAGTTAGATTGATATGTCCGGCCGTGATGCGGTCGCTTACAGCTTTCTTCATGGCCGTGTACTCTGGACCTTGCTGGAATTTGAAAAATTCCTCTATCGCCGAATCGTTGGTGAGCACAGTGGCTGAGTATTCATGGCAATTCGTATAGAATCGTAGCATGGTATTGTCGATGGTAGGCTGTGTATCATTGCTGAAGTCATCTGTCATCTGTCTCCCCGTAACACCCTGCTGGAAGTAATTAGCACTATCTTGCGTCCTCTTCTTGTCGCTAGCATAGTATTGGAGGCGGGCCGAGGCTGGCTGAAGTAGAGAATGGAAGCGAGAAAGGAATCGTTTCCCCAGTGTGTATGACTCTTGCTTGCCTAGAGATGTGAGCTGTGCGTTCAGATTCATGGGAAATCGGTCAACCCATGTATTAACGAAGGGGTGTTGTGTGGCTGTTGTCGGCAAACTCCGAAGTTTTGTTACTATTGTATTCATATCTACAATGTAGGGTGTTTTTGGATAGCGGGCGCCATGACGTAACAGCGCGTCCATGTAAAATGCCGTACATGTTTTCCCGTTATGAGTGATGGTCATACCGGAGTCGACGCCGATTGTCTGGTTGGCATCCCTCTCCCAGAAATAAGGCGTTTTCGAGCCAAACAACGACTCCCCGTAGAAACTGGACGATCCATGTGTACTGACTGCCAATACAGACAGCAGTAACAGCTCTAGATAGGACAGAACCATTTTGTTTTCAATTGTACACAGTCTATGATAGCTTAACTCGTACCGATTACCACCGTGTTTTACGTGCTGTGTTGGAACAAAAGACGTTTATCGCAGATAACGATTGTAAAAGGTCAAAGTGTAAATGCCATAGACCCATGTTCCTTAACCCATACACGATAACATTATCACGGCAATCAATAGAGAATGCAAAATATAGGCAAGGATGAACAAAGTCATTTCACGATGCCTTTGACCCGAGCCAAAAGACAGTTAACATTATCAGACATTAACCATAGTTTTTATTAATACCGCAACATTTAAACGCATATCTCAGAGCTTTGCTTTTAAAGGAGTTCCTGGTCCTCACAATACTTATCCATATATATCTCCTGGTTATCTCAACGTCAATCTAGTCTATTTCTAAAAGTCTTTTCATGTTTATACCAGTGTACCACTTTTTTCGAAAGATTGTTTCATATTCTTACAATTTGCAAAACAAATATGATCTTGCTATATCTGTTCTAGAATGTTCTTGAAATTCTTTCTTTTATTGAAATTAATAAAAAAAAAATGTCCTATCAATCGGTTATATCATAAAACTGATATTTTCTGTATTTTTACTATTTTAGGTCATTATCTTTCATTATAATATGAAGCAACACATGTTATTTAAAGTGTTACAACACCTGAATATGCAAACGTCCGGTTCCCTTGTTTATGTATGGATGTATAACGATAGGTTTGTTATGCATGATGAGAAAATGGAATGATTTTCGTCTGAATTGTTTTCTTTAAAACATTGTAATGTTCATACTTTGGATACTTGTCGGGTGTTCGGATGGCGCAGTGTTAAAACACTCGCCTTTCACCAAAGCGTCAGGGGTTCGATTCCCGTCACGGGCGTAAAAGGTTATGGGTATACCTACCCGATCACGTGGGTATTTCCCCGGGTACTCTGGTTTCCTTCAACAATAAGACTCCTCGTACGCTTCCGTCCGGGCTAACAAGAGTGATTAATATAAGATTAAAGCTTGTTTACAACTGTTGTAAAATATAGTTTATATTTATTTGTATTATACAACTTGTGAATTCAAAAGTTGAAATAATAAACTAGGAAACCTAAGGAATCATGTGTTTGTAATTAAATTGTTTAAAACATTAACAATAACAATTCAAAGTAAAAGTTCCTCGTGTTTTAATAAATGACGGATAACAGTACAGATATCTTATAGTAAACTTAACGGACGTCCAGACAGTTATCCCACTACAGCCGAGGGCATGGTCGAGTGGATATTGTGACAGAGGACATCAAACCGACAGTTGTTAATGGCGTCGCTGTACTCACTCTTTAACAAGTAATAAGGACAAAGTTTTAGGCCACACGCAGGAAGAGGTGTTTCCACCTCGTTCACGAACATTTTCAGGTATATGTCTCCCAACTCATCGCCGCACTTGTACAGAACGGGATAGATGTTACCAGAAAAAGGTGCAATTTTGCTTGTCCGGTACGTCCGGTTCCGGTGAGCGTTATAGTTGCTGGCCAAGAGAGGGGTGCTGTCGTGGAAGAGGGATAGGGCGCTGTAGATGGGGAGTAAGGTCTCAGCATGTCCAAACCTGAACGTCCCCACAGTGTAGCTGGAACAGAAACGTAAACACAATATATATTATCTCTATTTCAATAGCGGCATTATCGCATGTTAATTCAGGGAGATGATATAAAACATTACTTTGTACTCAGACGCGGTGAGACTATCAATAAAGTGTAAGTTCACATTGAAACCATTTTACCTCTGGCCTTCCCTGTCCGCCTGAATAGCTTTGTCTATGTTTCCGAACACATCCACGAACATAGGGCACGTGATCTCGCTGTTAATGGCGTGACCATAGGATTTCAACCAATAGTTCTGTAAGTCAAGTAAAACCATATAAAAGATGAATACGTTTTATACATAGAAGGAGGTATGATAAGGTACTGGTATAATGATTGCTTTTACTGATATATTTCAATCTGAATTTCATCGATAAACAAAAGTATTTACTTACATATAAATCATGTTCGTAATCGATCACTTCTATGTCCTCCTCGGTAAAGAATGAACACCAGTCAGAGGATTTAAACATGCCCAGCTCCACAGTGCAATACTGATGGACGGTCATGAGTTCACCTGTAAAGAACGACAACCGCATACTGACTGACTTGTGAATTCATTAGTATAAAGATGATGGACGTTTGTTTGTTACGTGTATAGCTACGTGAAAAGTCGAGTTGAAAGTGGGCTCTCATTGTAGTAGTCGATGACTACCTCAATGAACAACACACTGGAGGCACGTCGTTTGTCATCAAAAGTCATTTGGGGGTAAATTAATTGCCATGGTACACAACCACGACAGCAACGACCAGTCCACCTCAATGAACAACATATCGGAGGCACATCCTATACCATTTGGGGCTAAATGGATTGTCATGGTACACAACCACGACAGCAACGACCAGTCCATTTCTAAGCTTTCTGAGAAACCCAGACCGTCATACATGACAAGCCACGCACCTCAAATGTCACCTGATATACCTGATAATATACAAAATCGCCACGTTATTCACCACAAATCTCTGCTATTATATTAGTCTATTACGATGTAACGATCCTGCTGACACGGGTAACAGGGAAGCCATATGACAAGACAGAGCTGTAGAGGATCCATCTTTTTAAATCTAGGTCTTCTGTGTACCGAGACCGAAATCAGCACTTCAATTCAAAGGTTTAAAAAGTTGATGTACACAAACGTCAAAATCTTCGTTCAGCATCGGTGATTGATAATATGTCTATATAACTTATGTCAGGAAATATTTTGAAACTAGAGTATATAAAGAATGAAAATACGAAAACCTTTGATAAGCAGAAGGTGACCATCAGTATAAGTATGTCTACGTCTTTGTTACCGTCAGTAGGTGACATATACCTATTTAGCTTAGTAACACCGAAGTTTAAAGTTATTTTTGGTTTCAGTACATAGTATTCATTAAAGTAAGTCGGTGATTGACATTATAGACATCTTTAATGATAACACTGTTAAGGACGAAAGGTCAAGGCCATTCCGAACTACCATAAGTGTAAAATGAAGCGGTAGTGGAATGTATAGAACATACAAATACTGTTCTAGGGAACACTCTAAAATAACTCAACAGTTTCTTTTGTCATATTATAGTACAAACATAGGCAGTGCATTTTAGAAGCGTTTTACGGACCGATTAAAGACACATTGCATTATCTGACGTCTATTTTTTGTGTTATGGTGAAGCTTTGATAATGACTAGAGAGGTGGCTATGGGTTAGGACCTTTTGTAACTTACTGAATGTAAGATTGAAGTGTCCAGCCGTGACACGGTCACTCACTGCTTTCATCATGGCCGTGAATTCCGGACCTCTCTGAAATTTGAAGTATTCCGCTATCGCAGAATGGTTATTCAGAACACTGATAGAGTATTCGTGACAATTAGAATAAAAACGTAGCATGATATTGTTAATAGTAGGTTGTGTATCATTGCTGAAGTCATCTGTCATCTGTCTCCCCGTTACACCCTGCTGAAAGTAATTAGAACTGTCTTGTGTTCTTTTTTTGTAGGAAGCGTAGTATTTGAAGCGATCCGATGCTGGATGTAGGAGGGAATGGAATCGGGAAAGGAATCGTTTTCCTAACGAATATTGTTCCTGTCTTCCAAGAAAACTGAGCTGTCCATTGAGGTCCAATGGGAATCGGTTAACCCACGTGTTAAGGAAGGGATGTTGTGCAGCACGCGGTAAGTTCCGCAGTTTAGGTACAAGAGAATTCATATTTGCTATATATTTTGACGTTGGATAGCGGGCGCCATGACGCAACAGCGCGTCTACGTAAAATGCCGTACATGTTTTCCCGTTATGAGTGATGGTCATACCGGAGTCGACGCCGATTGTCTGGTTGGCATCCCTCTCCCAGAAATAAGGCGTTTTCGAGCCAAATATCAACTTTCCATAGAAACTGGATGAGCCTTGAATACTGGCTGCGAAAGAAACACAAATTACTAACAAGAGCATATTAGAAAACGACCAGACCATCTTGGAATTTTCCTATATACATGCCACGCTCGCTGCGTTGTGTCGGGGCAAAAGGGTTACTTGGTATTTATAGGATCAGAGAGTGTCAAGGCCACAGATAACAGACTGAAAATGGGGCGATGCAGGTGTAAGTCAGACTATTCCATCCTAGATTCAAAATGCACTAAAATTTTACACAGACGAATTAACATACCTATATCATCTAAATCATTTGCCAAATCATTACCATTGATAGTTGTTGTAATATAGCATTAATTGCCCAGTCCCTATACAACAGGTCGACATTGTACGGATCACATGTTTTATCATTGCACATGCTACTTAGAAACTTGACCGGGACTTAATACTCTAGATGAAAAAAATAATTTCGTTCGGGAAGAGATTAGTATAGAAATAACATATTTAAATTCAACTCATAAACTTTGTCTTTTCCTGTTGGAAATATAAAATGAAATAATTTGGAAAGCAGTTGAAACACGTGTATCTCGGCGGTAGATATTCCTTATGAAATTACATTGTTTTGTAAAAGCTAGTGACCAGTACCGATATTACATACTAGTGACAAGGTCACGGGCCTGTTACTAGAAAAATGACGTCAGCACGTTAGGACATTAACAGGATATAAACTCGATTCCACATTATATATATATATATTGTATCCTAGCAATCTGATAGAACAACATTATAATTACAAGCAACTTATCACAAGCACACCGGTAATAACTATTTATATATTGATATAAAATGAATGAAATTTGCGTTTTCATTTGAATAAAACCAACAGAATTCATGGAAGTAACATGAGGATAGAGAAACGAAACACTGTTAAACACAAAGTCTGCTGATATCTGTTGGAAATTACATTCAGGTGAATTGGCTTCGTTTAATGTTGTAGTATGACTTGTGTTTGTTTTTAGGGTTTATATGTTTCATCATACCACCAGTTAGTTTAAATTGTTGACAAGGTCTATCCAGTAACAGCACGATGGTTTATCGACTGTTTGCGCCACACAAAAACGTTAGCCTATAAAAAGCCCGAGTACATACTTGTTACTTAAGAAACAAGATGTGTTTATGAAACTCTATCCCCCCGACTGCAACAAAATTCTGAAGTGTGACATTAAAACTGCACTGCGTACGACATGTGCTAGTTACATGCACACTTTGTGAACCACTTAAGTCTTCATTGGTAGTGATTATTTTTCCACTTCATTACAAATAACATCACCTAAAAACTTGAGTCTGCAAGCTCTGCCTATTATTTTTTTCAAATGTAGGTCAAAATTCACGGTCAAGGTAACATAGTCAAATATTTTGGTGCCAATGGAAAAGTCTTGTCACATGGAATACACATGCCAAAATGAAAGCCCTACCTATTACAGTCCAAAGTGATTGGCAAGGTTAATGTTGACAACAACAAACAAACAGACAGCGCTAAAACAATGTGTCCTCGATTTTTCGATCCGAAGGAATAAAAAACTACATATATTCACACATGTACAGGTATACACTACTACATGGTAAATATTCACAACTGTACAGGTAGCAACAAATACATGGTAAATATTCACACCTGTACAGGTATCCACTACTACATAGTAAATATTCACACCTGTACAGGTATCCACTACTACATGGTAAATATTCACACCAGTACAGGTATACACTACTACATGGTAAATATTCACACCTGTACAGGTATACACTACTACATTTATAAATATTAACACTTGTAAGGTAAATATTCACACCTGTACAGGTATACACTACTACATGGTAAATATTCACACCTGTTCAGGTATACACTACTACATGGTAAATATTCACACCTGTACTGGTAGCAACTAATACATGGTAAATATTCACATCTGTACAGGTATCCACAACTACATGGCAAATATTCACACCTGTACAGGTATAAACTACAACACTGGAATATATTCACGCTTGTACAGGTATACACTACTACATGGTAAATATTCACACCTGTACAGGTATACACTACTACATGGTAAATATTCACACCTGTACAGGTATCCACTACTAAACGGTAAATATTCACACCTGTTCAGGTATACACTACTACATGGTTAATATTCACACCTGTACAGGTATCCACTACTAAACGGTAAATATTCACACCTGTACAGGTATACACTACTACATGATAAATATTCACACCTGTACTGGTATACACTACTACATGGTAAATATTCACACCTGTACAGGTATCCACTACTACAGGGCAAATATTCACACCTGTACAACATACACTACTAGATGGTAAATATTCACACCTGTACAGGTATACACTACTACACTGGTAAATTTTGACACTTGTACAGGTATTAACTACTACATGGTAAATATTCACACCTGTATAGGTATACCCTACTACACTGGTATATATTCACACCTGTACAGCATACACTACTACACTGGTATATATTCACACCTGTACAGCATACACTACTAAATTGTAGATATTCACACCTGTATAGGTATACACTACTAGATGGTAAATATTCACACCTGTACAGGTATACACTACTACATGGTAAACATTAACACCTGTACAGGTATCCACTACTACATGGTAAATATTCACACCTGTACAGGTAGCAACTAATACATGGCAAATATTCACACCTGTACAGGTATACACTACTACATGGTAAATATTCACACCTGTACAGGTAAAAACTACTACACTGGTATATGTTCACACTTGTATAGGTATACACTACTACATGGTAAATATTCACACCTGCACAGGTATCCACTACTGCATGGTAAATATTCACACCTGTACAGGTATACACTACCACGTGGTAAATATTCACACCTGTACAGGTATACACTACTACATGGTAAATATTCACACCTGTACAGGTATCCACTACAACGTGGTAAATATTCACACCTGTACAGGTATAAACTACAACACTGGAATATATTCACGCTTGTACAGGTATACACTACTACATGGTAAATATTCACACCTGTACAGGTATACACTACTACATGGTAAATATTCACACCTGTACAGGTATCCACTACTAAACGGTAAATGTTCACACCTGTACTGGTATACACTACTACATGGTAAATATTCACACCTGTACAGGTATCCACTACTACAGGGCAAATATTCACACCTGTACAACATACACTACTAGATGGTAAATATTCACACCTGTACAGGTATACACTACTACACTGGTAAATTTTGACACTTGTACAGGTATTAACTACTACATGGTAAATATTCACACCTGTATAGGTATACCCTACTACACTGGTATATATTCACACCTGTACAGCATACACTACTACACTGGTATATATTCACACCTGTACAGCATACACTACTAAATTGTAGATATTCACACCTGTATAGGTATACACTACTAGATGGTAAATATTCACACCTGTACAGGTATACACTACTACATGGTAAACATTAACACCTGTACAGGTATCCACTACTACATGGTAAATATTCACACCTGTACAGGTAGCAACTAATACATGGCAAATATTCACACCTGTACAGGTATACACTACTACATGGTAAATATTCACACCTGTACAGGTAAAAACTACTACACTGGTATATGTTCACACTTGTATAGGTATACACTACTACATGGTAAATATTCACACCTGTACAGATATACATTATTACATGGTAAATATTCACACCTGTACGGGTATACACTACTACATGGTAAATATTCACACCTGCACAGGTATCCACTACTGCATGGTAAATATTCACACCTGTACAGGTATACACTACCACGTGGTAAATATTCACACCTGTACAGGTATACACTACTACATGGTAAATATTCACACCTGTACAGGTATACACTACTACATGGTAAATATTCACACCTGTACAGGTATCCACTACAACGTGGTAAATATTCACACCTGTGCAGGTATAAACTACAACACTGGAATATATTCACGCTTGTACAGGTATACACTACCACGTGGTAAATATTCACACCTGTACAGGTATACACTACTACATGGTAAATATTCACACCTGTACAGGTATCCACTACAACGTGGTAAATATTCACACCTGTACAGGTATAAACTACAACACTGGAATATATTCACGCTTGTACAGGTATACACTACTACATGGTAAATATTCACACCTGTACAGGTATCCACTACTAAACGGTAAATATTCACACCTGTTCAGGTATACACTACTACATGGTTAATATTCACACCTGTACAGGTATACACTACTACATGGTAAATATTCACACCTGTACAGGTATCCAATACTACATGGTAAATATTCACACCTGTACAGGTAGCAACTAATACATGGTAAATATTCACACCTGTACAGGTATCCACAACTACATGGCAAATATTCACACCTGTACAGGTATCCACTACAACGTGGTAAATATTCACACCTGTACAGGTATAAACTACAACACTGGAATATATTCACGCTTGTACAGGTATACACTACCACGTGGTAAATATTCACACCTGTACAGGTATACACTACTACATGGTAAATATTCACACCTGTACAGGTATCCACTACAACGTGGTAAATATTCACACCTGTACAGGTATAAACTACAACACTGGAATATATTCACGCTTGTACAGGTATACACTACTACATGGTAAATATTCACACCTGTACAGGTATCCACTACTAAACGGTAAATATTCACACCTGTTCAGGTATACACTACTACATGGTTAATATTCACACCTGTACAGGTATACACTACTACATGGTAAATATTCACACCTGTACAGGTATCAAATACTACATGGTAAATATTCACACCTGTACAGGTAGCAACTAATACATGGTAAATATTCACACCTGTACAGGTATCCACAACTACATGGCAAATATTCACACCTGTACAGGTATACACTACTACATGGTAAATATTCACACCTGTACAGGTATACACTACTACACTGGTACATTTTGACACTTG